TTGGAGCCACCAGAGCTGCTAGGCGACCTGGGAGACTTGACTCCTTCTTGTGCCTCCTGCTCCAAAAAGTCGGACCAAAGTTCTGCAAGAGATTCCTTCCTTGTGCCGCCTTCGGGAAAGAAGTCGGTAGATAAGGCTGGTGTACTAGGCGTCCTATGCCACGGCGATAATGGCACGCGGAGATTTGGGTTCGACGCACCCGGTCGCGCAAGACCAGCTTGTTCTCGTTGTTCTGTAATTGTCAGTGACTAGAGTGGGGTTTTGGAGCGAAAAATTCCGCCTTACCATCTGTCCAGGCTAGTAGACTTGCAATTATTTGCAATACTTGGAATTTCTTGGGATCGGCTCTTTCCAGAGCCAAGAAATGCAGGACGTGGTTGGTGACGAGTTGTCTGGAAAGATCAGTAAATGCAAACAGCGGATGTGATGTGGGGCTCACTTGTCAATGGTGTCTTCGGGTTTGCCCTTTTTGAGGTACCTCAACGCCTTTGTCAAATGATCATTCAAAATCACTGCCTCATGCCGAAGTTTTCCAATAAGAAGGCTCTTCTCCTTCACCTCTTTCTCGAAAGGCAAAGCTCTCTCAAGCTCCTGTTTTGTTGACTCGAGCGAAGTAGTAGCGTCAGCTGCTCTTCCTTCAACTTCATGAAGTTGTTTCTGTAATTTTTCGACCTGTGCTTGCGAGTTTTCTACAAGCTCTCGTAGTTCACGTCTCCGAGCTGGAAAAGTTGTTAGAAAATGTAGTCTCTCGACTTAAATGGGGCTTACCATCTTGGATTTCCTGAAGTGCCCTCTGAAGCCCGTCGACGGTCAACGACTGACTATCTCGGTCCGAGGCTGCTCGTTCATGGGCTTCACGATGGCTCGCCACTTGCTCTTCCAGATCTGCGACCCGCTCTGCGATACTCTCCCGAATGGTTCGTTCTTCCATTGCAAGGACCTCCCAATCTTCCATAGCTTGCTTCGCGGCTTCAAACTCTTCTTTGGCATGGGCTTCTCGCTGTATTAAGTCGCCTCTCTCTTTAAACCAGTTTTGCTGCGAAAGAGTGGTTCTGTTCCGAAGACTCGATAACTCTTTTGATCTCTGCTCTCCCTCTTCTACAATCGTTGCCAGTTCTGCAGCACGTGCCTCGTTTTGTTCACGTAGATTGCCGCATTGCTCCTCAAGGTCTTCCATTCGACTCCGTGCCTGCGACAAGTCTTCCTATACTACCATCAGCGACGTAATGGTAGAACGCAAATGTACACCTACAGCATCTGCCTTTAACCGTTCACCCAGTTGTGATCTTATCGTGTTGACTTTTCCAAGCAAATTTCGATACTGTGTCTCAGCTTGTTCTTTCTCACCCTGTGTGTCCGCAAGCTGCTTCCGGATACTGCCAAGCTCCTCTTCGTGCTTTCCTTGTATCTCTTCGAGAGATCTCCGAACGTGCGCTACCTCTTCCCGAAGAGCAGCCCGCTCACTTACTAACGCTTCCAATCTCGCATCTGTATCAGTCGTCGTAGGTGCCGTACTTTTGTCACCAAGTACAACGTCTTTAGAAGTCGGTGACTCTTCCTCGGCAACAGATTGCTCTTGGGAATCCACCTCGACGGACCTATCGGGGACATCATTGGTTCTTCTCGGTGTACCATTGGTCATTGGGTGTCCCAGGTCGATCTCGGCCCTTTGAGGCGAGCTCGGTGGCTCTGAAGGTGTCTTAGATTCCTGCTCTTCTCCATCGGCGTCATCGTTTTCGTGTTCATCATTTGCTTTAGCGCCATTGACCTTTCCCAGATCCCCGTTCAGCTTCGCTTTGCTACCCTTCTTTTTCTTGTGCTTCCTGCCTTTCGAAACTGGTACTGGTTAGCTCAAGACAAATGTAATGGCAGGCTGCTACGGTCAAGACATGATGTTTCTCATGGCAACATACCTTGAGTGGCTGTATTTGGAAGATCTGAAGTCGCAACGGATGACATTCTGTAGTGTCTCCTCGAAAATATTTTGAGGTGGAGCTTAGGTATTGTCGTCGTAATACCGAATGGACAGCAAATCAGCGCCCACTTTTAGATCCCATGTTACCAATGTAAGTTTCATTAAGCGCGAAGCGGAGCTGACTTTACTTTAAAAGTTTAAAGTACTCTAATACGCGGCATATCGAGGAGCCGCCGACGATCGCAAGTAATCTGAAAGAGCAGTGAATTGATACGAATAAGACCCCTCCTACAATATCCACATACAAGCATTGTCACGATGGAGGCTCCAGGAAGAATTCTTCCCATCAAGGGAAAGACGAATGTCTTAATTACAAGTGCCCTTCCTTATGTTAATAATGGTATGTGCATTTCGACTTGGTTTATTGCTGAATAGGATGCTTTCAGTGCAAGGACCATTGTCCGCCTGATAACCTAATCTATATCATTATCCCGTGACTTGAGTCTTATCTTGCAAACCAAACGCTGACCCCAGAAAATTTGTCCAGTCCCCCATCTTGGGAACATCGTTGGGAGTGTTCTGAGCGCAGACGTCTTTTCTAGGTGTGCGCATTTCTCAAAGGTTGTGTACGCTCTCATTGATCCTGCATAGGTACAACAAAGCAAGGGGTCGACCAACATTATTTGTTTGCGGCACCGATGAGTACGGAACAGCTACGGAAACCAAGGCATTGGAAGAAAATGTTTCTCCCAGAGAACTCTGCGACAAGTACAACCAAATCCATGCGGAGATATATGAGTGGTTTGAGATCGGATTCGATATCTTCGGAAGAACTTCCACCCAACAACAGCAGGACATAACGCAGAGTATATTTCGAAAACTATACGAAAATGACTACCTGATCGAGCGGACTTCGCAGCAGCCATACTGCGAAAAGCACAAATCATTCCTTGCTGATCGATATATTGAGGGTACTTGTCCGAAATGTGGCTACGAAGACGCACGGGGGGATCAATGCGACAAGTGTGGCTCGGTAGACTACGGGCCATTGGACCTCAAAAACGCCCGATGCAAGATTGACCCAGATGCGACGCCAGTCGTACGGGAGACAAGACACATTCACATCAGACTCGACAAGCTTCAGCCAGATATACAGAAGTGGTTCAAAAAGGCCAGTGAAGACGGTGCTTGGTCCAGCAACGGGAAAGTCATCACAGAATCTTGGCTAAAGCAAGGGCTGCGGGATCGAGGCATCACCAGAGACTTGAAATGGGGAACACCAATACCACTTGATGTTTTCGCAGACGAGAAGGATAGAGAGATCTACAAAGACAAGGTGTTCTATGTCTGGTTCGATGCCTGCATTGGCTACGTGTCGATAACTGCAAATTATACCAAAGATTGGGAGAAGTGGTGGCGCAATCCAGACGTGAAGCTTTACCAATTTATGGGAAAGGATAATGTGCCTTTTCACTCGGTCATTTTCCCCGGCAGTCAAATAGGCACCAAAGAACCGTGGACTATGCTACATCATCTGTCAACGACAGAATACCTGAACTACGAAAATGGCAAGTTTTCCAAGTCGCGAGGAGTTGGTGTCTTTGGCAACAATGCGAAAGACACAGGAGTCCCCGCCGACGTGTGGCGGTACTATCTTTTGAAGCACAGACCAGGTATGTGATTTGAGTGTCATTCTGGTTACACAGGACCACAATTTGAGCACTAAGGCAGCGTTTGCGGGCGGATTCCGGTGTTACTACAGGCGTTGTGGTACAATTCAGTTCGGATGAGACATGCTGACCCTGGTTTGTTTCCCCAAAGAAACTGCCGACAGCCAATTCGAATGGAGGGATTTCGTTGCGCAGAATAACAATGAATTGCTTGCAAAGCTTGGAAATTTCGTCAACCGCATATTGAAGCTTGTCAACAGCAAGATCTACGATTCTATCATACCAGATTATACGGCCAAGTATTCGGATCCTGTATTCGAGCAGGCCAGGGCCGAGATCAATCAGCATTTGAAGCAGTATCTGAAGGACCTTGAGGCGGTCAATCTAAAGGATGGTCTTCAAAGCGCGATGGACATTGCACAGGCAGGGAACAATCTCGTAAGTGGAATGTTACACGCCAACAACCAGAGACGTGTCTGATAGTAAACCTGAAGATCCAAAGCAACAAACTCGACAATAAGCTCGCTGCAAATGAGCCCGAAAAAGCTGCAGCGGTAATAGGTCTCGCCATAAACATCATCTATCTCTGCGCCGGCATTTTCGAACCATACCTTCCGGCGACTTCCAAATCTATCCTTGAACAACTGGACGCACCTTTTCTCTTCATCCCTGATCACTGGACGGCTGACGATATAAAGCCTGGTCATCACATTGGCAAGGCAAAGCATCTTTTCATACTGATTGACCCGAAGAAAGAGGACGAATGGCGGGACATGTACGGAGGGACCCAAGCAGAGAGATTAAAGAAGGAAGAGGAGACAGCGAAAAAGGCAGCAGCTAAGGCAGCTGTGAAAGCCAAAAAGGCAGAGAAAAAGACAAAGAAACCGGAACACCAGGTTGAAAAGGTGCATGCGCAGCCAAGTGTGGAGGAAACGGCAACAGGGGGAGCGGAGGCTACAGAAGTCGGCAAGGAGCCAGTGGATGCTGTTACAGATGGATTTCAACAAGTTACGCTGCCTTCGTCATGATGAAATGGAAGACAACTTGGAAAGCATGCCCGGTCGCTGAGGGGTTGCCTTGTCCTCGACTCCTCCTCGGTCAGCGAGTGCTGCATGATTTATTAGAGTATGATTGAGGACTTTATCGCCAAAAGGGTATGGTCGAGGCAGGAAAATTGTCTGATAAGGTAATTCACCGTAGCTGTTGGATTCAACAAAAGCGGGGCTCGCAGATAATTAGCTTCCGACTGTAGATAAGTACAGCACCTACGTAAGATATGCATGGCATGGCATGGCATACTGCGACGAATTGCATTTAACATGACACGTACCCTCTTGCACTGCTCCTGAATGAGTCCAATCAAATTCCGCCTGTGAAATTCTTCGGTTACCAACACTACGAACCCTTCGTCTACAATGTCTCGAATTACTGCCATTCACAAAGTCGGCGCATTTCGGCGCCTTGTCACGCTGAACACCCCGCGAGCTTATGACTCCTACTATCCTGGAAAGCATAGGTAGACTCTGCCAATTCAGCCCCACCAAAACAGCTGCTGAGTCCTCTTCTCTTACCTAAAGGTGTTCAAAGTCCATCCGGCCTTTTCACTGCAGCAGCCAAAGGAGGACGCTTGGGGACACCTCAAGCATTGACTTTGCTTACTTCCCTCAATACGAGCTCCGTGAGCCCGCAAAGAATGAGATAATGCGTATTCCCATCCTTCCCTTCAATTCTTCACCGCCTGCAAGAAGCAACGAAGCTCTTGAGTCGGTGATCCGACCGGAGATCACAACGGCAAGTGCGAATGGAACACATATCGAGTCTCCCTCCGCAATGTCAGACGTGACAGACAATCCAGGACACACAGATCTCGATCCTTTTGACTTGACGAACACGGTCACCACGGCGGCGTCTGAAGTGACGGGTTTGCCCATCGAAAGACTGCAGGAGCCGGGGGTCGTAAAGGAACTTTGGAATGGACTGCTGGATGATATTTTAGGGGCGAGGAAGACTGCGAAGGCGTGAGTCAGGAATGAAAGCCAGGGCAGTGTGGGAATGTCTTTTTATTTTATTTTTTCCTTGTTGAAGCGATTCTCGATTTATGTCATTTTTCTCGGTGGAAGTTGGACGGCTACGATACAACCAAAAAGATTGCTGCATGCTATCAGGCTTGGATCTCAGCGCGGTAACAACGGATGTTCGCTTCGACTGTGATGAAGAGCAGGCTGTGGAAAAGAATGTTTCGTGGTCTGGACCATTGATGAATCATATAGCTTAAGCTGAATGCAGTCATTAAGTTCCTAGAGAAGTCTCTGTTGCTATCATGATACAAGGCTTCGTCCTTGAATGAGCACATGTGTTACGAAGGAATGGAAAGAGGCAGAGGGAATAGGCGCAACCTTTGAAAGTTGATGACTAGTGGTATTCAGCCCTATAGTACTGCCTATTGATGAGACGACATTTCCACATCAAAACTGTATTTTCATTTTTTTGCTCATGTAATTATGTTGTGGACCTCTTCCATGATGTTGCTGCGATAACACAATGCCCAAAGATCGCCTTTATGACCTACGGGATATAGAAGTCAGCCGAGAGCCAGAGCAATCTCGCTCATTGCTCGCCCAAGGCGCCGTTGACGACGATGAAGTTGGACCTTCGCCAGCACATCAACCGCCTCCATTTCCCCAATCTTCTCTCTCCAGGACCGCTTCAAATGGGTTCCCTCGCGCTCCGCGCACCATAAATCGAGTCCGCTTCGACGTAAGAGAGACGGACAGCGGCGAGCATGCGCTCAACGGCCATGTGCGTACACCGAGCCGGGAAAACGGCGGTTGGCCCGAGGCTGAGCATGACTTGTTCGGAAACGATGTTGAGAGTAGGGAAAGTTGCGCAGGGCAAAGGGCGCCTCTTCTCACCAATGTCGAGGCACCTAGTGTCATGGTGGCCGAAGATTTGGATTTCAACGCTGAGGGACTGCTGGAGAATGCCAGGCCGAAGAGTGGTATAATGTAGGGCAGTTCTGCAGCGCAACCTTGCGGGCCGGGCTCGGGTGCTGAAATGTTTGCAGAAGTGCATTCATGAATATGGCGAATTCAATAATTGGGGCTGGCATAATAGGCAATTCTCACTGCTAGTTACATTGCTTTCGCGGTCCCAAACTTATACTATAGCTCTAGGTCAGCCGTATGCTTTTCGGCAAGCCGGTTTGTAAATCTTACTGTTCGAATTCGGCCTTGAAATCTTGTGTCCTTACCTATATCGCTAGATCAGCGGGAATCGTCCTCCTGGTTATTTTAACAATCACAGTGAGCCCCCTGGCGACTTTTGTGGACCATGGGACACTGATCGTCGTCTAGGTAGACTGGACCATACGGCAAGACTCTCCCTCGCTCTCGATATCCTCCCTTTCTGGTGTTACCATATCAATTTTTCAAACCTAAGAGCGAGAGTTGATGTGCTTTGCAGCTTGATCGTGATCAATTCGAAATTCAGTGGTGCCAGTTCTTTCCAAGGGTATGTGAGGACGCATGCGTTGATGGCAACTTATAAAATGTTTACATTCGACAGAACTGTGGAACACTGCTTTGGCGCCTCCGGACTCATTGCGATCTCCATCGCCCAATTCGCCTTGTATGCAAAATCGAGCCTCGACCAAGGCTAATGCTAACTATGCTCCCTTCAGTGCTTTTGGAGGCATGGTCGCCTTCTGTGTCATCATGGGAGATACGATCCCCAGCGTGATTGCGGCACTTCTCCCGTCTTTATCGGACATGCCTTTCCTCTGGCTTTTAACCAACAGACGAGCTGTGATCATTTTGTGCACTCTCTGTTTCAGCTATCCTCTGTCTCTATATCGCGACATTGCAAAAGTATAGAAAATACCACCTTTTCCTGTAGCTTGGCATTCGTTAACCAAATTTCAGTTAGCAAGAGCGTCGACGTTAGCACTTTTAAGCATGGCGGTAATGGAACCATTCTTTGAGGCATATCAACTGTTTACTAATGTGAGATGTAGGTTATCCTGATTACAGTCGTGACGCAGGGCGTTGGGGTACCACAGGATCTCAAGGGTAACTTGAAGGGCTCGCTGTTTGTGGGGAATGGTGTCCTTCAAGCAATCTCGGTGATATCGTTCGGTAGGTCTCTTCGTTCTGAAACGCCAAATTCCAGAGACAGACTAACGATCATAGCATTTGTCTGTCGTAGGGGTCACGGCTTCCTTGCACTTCTGCTCCACTAACGAGCTGTCAGATCACAACTCTCTCCTGATATACGGTTCTCTAAAGAAGCCGACGATGGATAGATTCGCTCGCGTTACCCACTACTCTACATTCACGTCGATGTTAGCTTGTTTGACCATGGCTTTGGCTGGCTTTGTCACCTTTGGAGAGAAGACACAGGGCAACATCTTGAATAATTTTCCCAACGAGAATCTCATGGTTAACATTGCACGCTTGTAAGTCAATCTACTGGGACTGTGGACGGTGTCCTGCTGACGTAAGGGTAGTCTCCTGGGAGCCAACATGGTGACGACTTTACCGCTTGGTCCGTTCGTGCTAGCTCTGGATGAGAGGCCTAGCTGACGACGTCTCAGAGTGCTTCGTGTGCCGTGAGGTTATGATTGTTCGTACGGTCCATTTCCGGAGGTTTTCGTCACAGCTGACAGTCTAGAATTACTGGTTCCCCAATGAACCGCACAATCCTAATCTTCACCTAATTCTCACTACATCTCTTGGTAAGTCGTTTCCCAAGGCTTCTGAGAATCGGCCGCAAAGAGTAGACGAGATCGTTAAGGCTAACACAATGTTCCTAGTTGTAGCGGCAATGACCTTGTCTTTGATCACTTGTGATCTTGGCGCTGTATTCGAGCTTATTGGGGCAACGAGCGCCTGCGCTGTAAGCATTCGGCATACTGCAAAGAGAAAGCTGCTGAAAAACTCTCTTCAAGCTCGCTTATATTCTTCCACCCCTGTGTTATATCAAATTAAGCACCCGTAGCTGGAAAACCATTCCCGCGATCCTCTGCGTTGTCTTCGGAGTAGGAAACCCTCATGCATTCTTATCATCTTAGAAGAATAGATCGCTGTGACTGACTGGCAAGTAGATGATAGTGATGACCATCAGCCTGATACAGGCAGTCGTAAAGATGATTAGAAATGAAGGTGGCGCTCACTCCTGTCGATAAAGTATAGGAATTGTCATGCGGGATCTGTCTCCCAGGAATAGTCTTAGAGCTTCAAAGGAGCTACGAGGGCCGATTTCATCCGCCTGCAATGCATGAAGACGGTACTTAGCCATTTCACAGAAAGATTGCTGTGATCATTGCCCCTTGCCTTGGAATCCGGAAGGTCCGTGTCCTCTTTCATTGTGACCAACAGCATGTTTGCCGTCTCGTGGGACAACTACCAACGATACTGCTCCTTTGGCGTGGTATTTGAGAGGTTCAGGTACCTTCAAGCAAGGACCTTTCGCCGGCGGTTAGCAGGCAGACCCTCAGGAAATTGGCAGTCTGAGGCGCCAAATCTTTTCTTTTCACATCATTTTCAGCATCAAACCGAAAACCCCGTCAATCATGAGTAGTATCGATAGCGTTAGGAAAAGCATGCGGGATGAAAATTCTCGTTCGTGCTGCTCTTCCCAACAACTCAGCGACCTGTACCGCTTCCACTGTCACCTTTTCTAGCTCTGTGCCTTTTAGCTATGTCGTTGAAGCCTAAGCTGGACGCACGCTGTCTTTGAAAGGTCGGGATAATAGCATACAAACCCTGTAGATCTTTCTTGGGCTGCTTCGACATACGGAGTGTCGACCGTTGGAGATCAGAAATAATCTGCGACTGGACAGCAACAACTGCCACTTTTTGGCACGTTCCATGGCGAGCCTCTAGGAAAGGTGGCAGTCGAAGAGGTACAAACTCCTGAAGTATCCTCAATTTGAAGCAGCTCCGGTCATAAATGACAAATGTTCTCGGGGTGAGAGCCCAAGTTCGGCGGTAACCAGGAAAGCTCAGCGGCCTCGACTGAAGTCCCTTTCTGCCAATTTGCCTGGCTGACTTCTGGAACAGGGAAAGCACCTAACTGCCCGACAATTGGTGTACACGAACCCTCGACACTCTGGCCTTCCCTTCTCACTGACCCCGAACTTCCCACATTTCATGTGCTCATGTCTATAGACCGTACACTGTGATGCCTGCCCGTCTACTGTTCTTCAAGGACATTGAATACCGGATTTCTGACAGAAGAAAAGCACAAAAGTAAAATGCCTAATCACTATCTCCCAAGAAAATTAGACTTGGACTTTCTGACGAGATTAAAGGACACAGGGGAAGCACAAAGGTGAAGCGCCCAGTTCCCCGCGAAAATTGGTGTGAATGAAACTTCACCATTCTGCCTTCTCCCAGTCACTTCCAAAGTCCTAAGCACATCTTCGATATTCAGTCTCACAATACAAAATTGTGACGCCTGCCTTTCTACTGCCCATCTGTTGCCCATCTACTGCCCGGCCCTATTTTAGGTCCATCGGGCACTCAACTTTCTGGAGAAAAGAAAGTGCAAAAAAGGAGCGCCTAGTAGTAGTCGGCGGGATTTGGTGTGAATTTTGCTTTAACCTTCTGTCCTGGTATTTTCCTCCAAACATGCCTTATATTCATCCATTATATACTACTCGATCTTCTTCCTAATTCTTTAAATCTCATATCTCTCGAGGAGAAGGGAGCATAGAAGTGAAGCGCCTAGTTATCCGCGGAGTTTGCTGTTAATCTAGCTTCGATCTTCTGTCCTGGTATCGTCCCCCAAACCTCCCTTTTATCTATCCACTATCTGCTACCCGGCCATCTTCCTAATTCTTCAAATCTCGCATCTCTCAAGGAGATAGGAGCCTAGAAGTGAAGCGCCTACTTGTCCGCGGGATTTGATATGAGTTTGACTTCGACTTCTTGTCCTGTCCTTCACACCAAACTTTCTAGAAAAAGGGAGCATAGAAGTGAAGCGCTCACTTGTCCATGGAATTTGCTGTGAATTTAGCTTCGACTTCCTATTCTATTCTATCCCTCACATCAAACTTCCTAGCATAACGGAGAGCACAGAAGTGAAGCGCCCGCTTATCCGTGGAATTTGCTGTGAATTTAGCTTCGACTTCCTGTTCTATCCTGTCCTACTTATCCTTCACATCAAACTTTCTAGCATAAAGGGGAGCACAAAAGTGAAGCGCCCGCTTGTCCATGGAATTTGCTGTGAATTTAGCTTCGACTTCCTGTCCTATCCTGTCCTACTTATCCTTCACATCAGACTTCCTAGCACAAAAGGGAGCACAGAAGTGAAGCGCCCGCTTGTCCGTGGGATTTGCTATGAATTTAGCTTCGACTTCCTATCTTGTCCTTAACTCCAAACTTCCTTTCTATTCGTCTATCTTCATGATGCATAGTGCCAACAAGTGTATGTCTGCTCTCCGGCTCCTATTCTAGGCTGATTAGGCCCCAACTTTCCAATCACGATTGACAAGCGCTATATCCTCCGCGGAATTGGGTGTGAGCTTAGCTCTCACTGCCCTTTTCCATAAAGTGAAGTCTTGCAACTTGCCCAAAGCGCGCTAAGAATAAGCGGTAAGCAAAATCTTCCTTCTCTACCTCAGTTTGGAAGATTAGCAACCACATCATCAACCCCATTCCCTCCATACCATCCATACCATCCATACCATCCATACCATCCATACCATCCATTGCTTGGGCTAATCCCCCCCCTCGTCTGTACAAGACGACGGTAGTACACCACAACCATTCCTAAAACTCGCAGACGATGCCAAATCTCGTCGGGTTCCGAGATGGTACTCCACCTCTCGTGGAGGACCAAGCAAAGCAAAAAACCCTAGTTGCTATGCAAATGGAAGCGTTGGGATCGCGACGCCGAGACTTTCTCTCGACGACAGACTTCAAGGAAAACAAAGCTAGCTATGTCCCTACGGTGCACCTTGAATCACAGCGACTCGTGAACAAGAGAAGCATCGGGCAAGGAGAGAAGTCCAAGTTAGAAGGCTGGAATAGTAAGACTGTATACGCTGAACACCTTGTCGCGTGCTAATCATGAGCCAAGATGCTTGGACGCGTTTACAAGATGATGGCACTGATACACAGAATCTACGAGCTGTCAACGAAGGCTTGGGTCAAACTCACCGAGCCAGACTCATGAGTGACGACAGCGTTCGAGACTATACGGGAGAAGAAAACTTTTGTGGAGGAGGTCGTAGCGGTAGGGGTGACCGTGGTGATCGCGGTGGCAGAGGTGGCGGCAATGCTGGACGAACTACAGGTCGGGGTGGCCGAGGGAAGGCCAAAGGGTAATCACCTCGATCGATAGTCAGATGGTCGAATCTGGTCTTGCTGACTGGGGACACAGAGAACGCAGGGTCACATTTCAAGATGGGTCATTGGTTCAGCCTATCACTCGCGTCCGCGTTCCGAAAGGGCAACCTAGTGCTCAAATCGACGTACCTCGCCACCAACCACACCCCATACTAAAGACAGTCTCAGCTGTGAAATCAGCGAAAGGAAACACTACCACACCAAGCACACCTGCTACGCTCACCCGACCACCGGTGTAAGTGCTTGATCTTCACCAAGTTGTATGCTATCACTAACCAAAACTAATAGTCATTATGACGGAATGCTTGCTGCACCCAGTGCGTTCATGGCTTCCGTCGGAATACGCAAAGAACGAACTCGGGATGAACCAAACATCAAGGACGCTCCGTCCGCGACGGATACCTCAAAGGAGAAAGTAATTGGATACAAAAATGACACTTTGATCACAAAGATCACAGACACCTCAAGCGAGAAGGCGATTGCGCACAAGTCCAATGCTTCGGCCATTGATACACCGAGTCACAACACAACAACAGCAGCTGGCAAGACTATTAAAGGTTTGGACTCCCGTCCCAAAGGTGATCTGATGGATCTCGACACCGGTCGAGAGACCACGCAGCCAGTGCTTCAGTTCACAGCACCTAGCACCAAGGAGCCGCCTTCTCATCATGTTGACCAGGTAGTCTTAGCTTTCGATCAGCAGATAGAGGCTTTGGAGAAGATCGGTGTATTTAATGCCACTCAGCTCGAACTCCTTAAATCGATTCAAATACAGGTGCACGCCCGCAAAAATGCCACTGCTCCAGTGAAAGAGGCTCCTCGTCCTGGAATTTACACCAAATCGGAGCTCGTATCCCTACGTCCGACAGCTTCAGTTCCCGAAGTCACAACTGGTATCGCGACCAAATTCGCACAGCAACAGCACGCCTTTCTCATTGGCGAGCATGTACACAAGACTAGGTACCACACTGCCGCGTCTTTGACCGAGGATTTTGAGAGGCTCTCAGTCTCAGACAAGAGACCTGCCAAGCCAGCTGCAACGGACCTCTCAACTCCTGAAAAGTCGAATATCAATCCCTTCGGTCCTCCACCAGTTAAGGGCAAAGGGCCCTCTCTTCCAGCTCATCTGTTGAACCAAAACACTACGGCGGACCATGGGGCGGCGGCGCGTGCCCAATATTCGGGTAGCAATGACATCTTAGCTCCGATCTCAGATCGACAGTCGCTGGTGGATGTTACCTCAACGACGCGTCCTACTCGTCGAAACATGATCAATCAGACTGGGTTTATCGCCCTTGCAGAGAACCGTGTCAATTTTGTTGCCGCAGGTAAGAAGGGAGAGGACCCGTTGCTCGTGGCACGCAAACGAGGTTTGTGAGACATGGATTCAAGGACTATCCTCGTTTACATCAACATTCCCACACTGTGATCGATCTGGGAAACGAGCTTGCAATTGTACTTAGCTACACTAGAGACAGATAGACATGCATGCAATGCTTTGACCAAAAGGATTTCCCTCAAGCAACCCTTATGCACCTTTGCCATGCGAGTGTTCGTCGATTGCCTCTGTTACACCTTACGAATTCAATATCTCCACATTGCTGTGAACAAGCTGTGCCTCTAACCCAATCTTCTGACGTTTGACGTCTCCACCTGCATCAGAAGCCACGTTTGTGACATCGCCCAATGCTGAACGCGGCCCGCTGTTCTCTACCGGTCTCTTCATCTGGGGTGGCTTGTACGAGCCTCGATTCTGCAACGGGCTTGGGGCTCCCATCGGCATACCAACCCGCCTCGTCTTATCTGACTGTGGATTTACAAAGTTGGCACGAGGCACTGCTGGTTGTGGCGGTGCCCCAATAGCTTCCCTGCCGACAGGCTTGGATTTTGTGTGATCAACTCCCGCGGTCTTTCGAATACTCGGGCTCTCTAAATGGGGATTGAAGGCTGGAGCCTTTAATGGCAGACCGGGTCCATTCTGAAGAGATTCGGCGGCTCTCGCTGTGAAAAAGCCGACAGGTGGGTCGTGTTCTGATGTGCTCGATGAATCGAGACTCGGCATTTCATTTGGAAGGACCTTATCTTGGGCCCGTACGCTTTGGGGTAAGCGTGGCGCAGGTAGTTGCTGTCCCGATATTGATGGTTTGACTTGTGGTGGAGGAGCAGGAACATGTTGTGGCTTTGTTCCCTGGCCTGGGTTCTGCGGACCTTCAACCACATTCATTGGGAGTACCGGATTGTTTGATCCAAGATTAATAGGTGTTTGGGGAGCTGCAATATGATCGGACGTCATGGAATGATTGCGGGTGAGCGGCGACTTAAGTCTTTGCATGCCGTTGTAATCCGGTGCACGCGTGGATGAAACACTTGCTTTACCCGGAAGACTGTTCCTGCGTCGGAAATGGTCCGAAGAAACAGAGGGATCTAGCCTCACTTCATCCGGATGATCACCTTGAGAGACACTGAAGTCTGCTTCGTCGAAATCATCACCTGCGCCGCCAGTCAGCGCTTGCTATTAAAGGAGCTGGTCAATGTCTTACTGCCAAATTCGTCTTCAGGGTCTCCATTGAGAGCTGTAGAGTGATTTAGCAATGGCTCAAACGCAATATTGAGACAAGCCTGACCAACCTGTAGCTTGCGTGTCTTCTCTCTCTGTAGGCCATTCCCTCTTCAAAGTAGGAAGACTGGGCTGCCGGGAAAGAGCATCAGCTGCGGACTCCCTCCTGACCGGAGCGAAATCGGGATGCCTGTGCAGATTTTCGGGGTCCCATTTGGTCTTATAACTACGTTCAGTGAACGGTGGCAGCAACGGACTGGTCCACTTACTGGGGCGATCTTGAGTTTCGTAACCTTCGCTACGTAGTCTTTGTCATAGACACAGTTGCCAAGTAGGTTGCCAAAGTTGCGTAAGGCTCTCTTCAATCCATCAGTCGTCCCCTCCTTCTTTGCTTTCTCAAAAGCTGCGGCTTTGCCTTTACAATTTTCGATATGCCCGTACCCAATGTCCTGGTACAGTTCAGTATATGTGAATGCGATCGCTTTCGTTCGGGAGACTTTACCTCGTGGAATGTACCATCTCGAAGTGTCACTCTGACAACGACTGATAGACCAAGGCTGACTTTCCCAGTGCTCTGACTTTCGTCGACCTAGCCTACACTTAGATCCTCGTTGAAGTTGCACACCCGAATCTCGCTTACGAAGTCGATCTGCACATTCTGGATTCCACTCGACCATCCGTTGAAGCCAAAAACCTCATTTGCAAGATTGATGCATTTGTCTGCCGACAAGTAGTGGACCTTGCCTCCCCCAGCACCTGGTCTTGATGAAATGTATTCCGGTCCCAACTGCTTCTCCAGACGACTCGATAACGTGGCGATATCTTGCGCAGTGTATTCACTGACATGAGGCTTCACCTCCTCATATGGGTTGACCGATGTAGCAGCAGGCTTGTGCTGTTCGCCTTGTCTGGCGCATGTCAGCGCATGTTTAGCTATTGATTGAGATAGATCACTGACCCTGGCATTCTGATTTCACGTAAGGCTTGAGCATAGCAATGATCATCTAAGGAAGAATTGGCCTAATGGTGTTTTGATGTCGAGCTGGGACGAGGTGGGTCGCGACTGCCAAGACTGGCGGCGCGTCGCCGAAAATGCCAAGTCACATGTCTGATCTGCCATGAAAAAAATGAAAACTTGCACAAGAGCAGGTAGGCAGGTAGGTAGGAGTGCTGCGAAAGTCGACAATACCAACGAAGATCATTGTCCACAGAATATATTTGGACTGCTTTCTATGCATCGATTATCGAATAACAATGGCTTGATGGCCATGAATATGTAAATCTTGAAAGAAAGCAGGAACCACTACTGGGTTTTCCTTCATGGCTCAACCCTAGTCGCCATAGGATGTCCCAGACGCCTTGCAATGATAGCCATAATCCCTATGCTCCACCCTTTCATATTCGTTTATCATGATTCGTGAAACCCGTTGACGAGACAACGAGACGTCACTTGACAATCAACGAAGCACTCGGTACCAATCCGAGCTCTTTCAAAGAGGCTCCGAAATCTACTGCGTCGAACACTTTCTTTGGAAAATTTTGAACGAAGCTTCCAACTTCAAGACCCGAGTCTTGCGTTACAGCTGAGGCGACTTCGAAGAGAGTGGTGTCGACAGGGAAGGCTTTTTGAATGTTGCCCGTCGGGAGGTGTAACCGTAGGCGTGTTTCGGTGTATGCTGATGCAGGCTTCGATGCTACAGGGCCGGAAGTTGTAGGGAAGGGGGCGGCGGCTTTCGGGGCTGCTGGTGGCGCTCGTCCCTCACGTTCCGCTTTTTCCTTCTCTGTCCTCAATCGTCGCTCTTCTTTGTCTGCTGCAATTTTCGCTTTGATTCTCTCCTTGGCGGCTATCTCATCTTGCTTCTCCTTGCGCTTTGCGGCAGCATCCTTGAGCTGCTCCTTCTTCTTCAGATCTTCCTTAATATCTTGTGTCTCTTTGGTGCTCTTCCGACGGATCTCCTATGACCCAGAGTCAGCTTGCTTAGGCATTGCAGGTTCCAGCAGGGTCTTACCTCATTCTTCTTCTTGTCCAATTGATCCTGCTCCGATGTGCCAGACCGTTTCTCGGCAAGTTTCCTTCTCAGCTCTTCAAGCTTTGCCTTTTTCTCCTCCTCGGTGAGAGGCGCGATTTCCTCGGTGGATTCGGAAAAGTCAACGTGGCCGGTCTTGGTAGCGTGGAATTCCGCTTGTGCATGGCTTCTAAGCTTTCTGCCACAATCACCGCACACGAGCGACTTGGCTTCCTCGCCCGGCTTCAAGTCTGCTGGCACTGTGTTGGGATCCGTCTCGGCCCTGGCGTCTGCTGCTTTGATTTCGTCGAGCGACTTCCCTTCCACCTCTTCGAGCCACCCCACTGCTGCTGTTACTGGTCGACATGTCATTGTCTTATCACGAGGGGGGATCTCGTAGACCACTTCAGCTGCGAATGGTGACTTACAATCGCCTTTCTTCTGCATGGCCAGCTCAGCTCTTGGTTGGTCGAAGCCCATTTCAAGAAGAGTGTTAAGATCGGTAGATGCCATTTGTTTTGGTACCCGGCCTAAGGATGAAGGGAAGTTGTTGGAAAGCTTGGATTCAGCTGCAGGTAGTTAAAAGCAGTTCGAAGGACTGGTGCAATAGGGACAGTGTCAAATAAAATGTGTTGTTGATTTCTCAAGCATGTTCGACATTTTGAAGCACGAGAAACCGCGAACGTCAGCCGAGAGCCGGCGCCTAGAGTTAGTCCTTTGGCCAAGACAGGGTCCTCTCTCCAGTCTCTCCAGCCTCTTAACATCATATGTAGCCTACACTACTCCGTATTCAGTAGTATTCACCAAAGTGCTGAATTGTTATCAATCTCATAAAGTAGAGCTTGTTGGAGAGTGTCATATCAATCTCGATCCACGTCATCCAAGTACATCACCAAACTCTTGCATAGCGACCGACACAAAGATATAAATCCCCGAGTCGTTATCATGTCGGTCACGCTCGATCCCCCCGAGCTTGGTTTTCGCCGTACGTTCTCGGTATCGCAGATCTGCCCCTGTAGCTAATCAAATTGGTTCAGGTCCTTTCACACATGAAGTTACGCAGCTTCTACGCCTCAGCAATCCGAGCAAGGATCCGATAGCGTTCAAGGTAAGCTCTTCTATCGTGTCTGGCTTGTGCCACAGCGGCATGGACTGATTGGAACATATCGCAGGTTAAAACTACAGCTCCTAAACAGTAAGCATTGATACCGGACCGTGTTGGTAAGTTTACTGAGGAGCGGCCAGGTATTGTGTTCGGCCCAATTCAGGACGCATTGAAGTCGGCAGCGAGGTTGAGGTGCAAGGTAAGCAACATCAACGGAAAAGACCATAAGGAATTCGGCTTCTGAATAAATGCAGTTCTCCTCCAGGCGATGAGAGAAGATCCTCCACCTGATGCTAGATGCCGCGACAAATTCTTGGTCCAGTCTGTCGCAATCACGCCAGAGAGAGACTTGGGCAGTGTGACAGCCATTGTTAGTCAGGATCTTCTACACCGTGCAAGGACATTTGCTGAAAACCCAACAGTGGCAGAATGTGGAGAAGATTTCAAAGGGTTCCATTGAGGAGAGGAAGATTCGTGTAGTCTTCTTGCCCGCTGATGGCACGGCGTCTACCCCACAGCACAACAATGTCAATGGAATAGTAAGGAGTCGAACCCGTTCACACCCCTTTTCGCAAACACTGATTACCCCTCAGCATCTCGGCAACGAAGCACCCCCAGCCTACGGTTCCCCAGCTCCTTCATATGGCTCTCCAGCTCCGGAAGCCGTCACCCCAGGCACCCGCTCTGCAAATGCTGCTGACTCGCATTCGTTCAACGACAGCAAGACCATGACCGAGTCTGCCAGCAATGCAGCAGCGTCAGCGCAATCTACTGTTGGCGCTGCGGCTTCCAGCGTGGCCAACGCAGTACCCATGTCTGGCGATGACGTGCGAGCGCAACTTGCTCAAGCGAAAGCTACTATTGCGAGGATGACACAACAGTCCGAAGAGCAAGGTCTAAGGCAGAGGAAGACGGATGCGGTAAACCAAGACTCTCGAGAGCGTATCGCGACCGGCACGACCGGTATGGGAGTTCAACAGCAACCAGCAGATGGCGTGCCTGTACAGATCGTTGCGGCTCTGTGCTTGTTGAGCTTCCTTTTAGCTTATTTCCTTTTCTAGTGGGTAAGAGTCTGAACAGCGATGGCGCAGATGTCCGATAGAGCGGTTTTGTTGGGGATTCCTGTCTGTGCGCTATGCGAGCCGAATGTGCGGAAGCTCAGAACCGGACTTGTTTTGTTCTGGAGTTCTTCATCAGATATTGCTACATGACGCGTCATGAAGAAGCGAAGGTCTTACAGATGGTGAGCCAGGACAGGATTGAGTGCGCGGCAAGTTCAGTCAAGGCAAGCAAAGGCAAAGGATGGTTTGGAAGGGATTAGTCGGCTTTGCTATCCAATACATCATGTCAACCTGTAACTCGAGAATATAGCAATGGTCCCAGTCAAAGGTCCATGCTTGAAGCTAATAATGGTCATGATCATTTCATGTCGCTATTCCTGCATGCTGATCCAAAGCTTCGTAGGTCATTTGACCCCTGGGATTCCAGCTCCCTTCCGCTCATTAGATCCCAACTCGTCTTCTCTCCAGCCGCCAATCTTCCTGCCCCCTTCATTCCTCTTTACCCTGCACCACAAGCCCACCTCCTTGTCCCAAATGAAGTGCCAAATCACCCATGTCCAACTTTTGTGATGCGGCAGTCCCGCATAATAGTCCTTGGCCATCTCGTGCAATGCCGGCAAACGTGTCCAGGGTATCGCTGGGAAATCGTGGTGCTCGTTGTGCAAACCCACGTTGTAGGTAAGCATGTTCAATGGTCCGTAATACGAGAAGGTCTCTGGAACAGGCACGAGGTCGTTGGCTTCTTTTGCGCTTTTAGGTTGTGGGTCGAACACATAATGCTCGGCGATGAAATGGCCTGCACAAGGATGCAACGAGCCGGCCAAAAAAGAGCTCATGATCAAGTATGCCAAGGCTCGGCCACCTGCGTACCGCAAGAGAAGGTAATCGAAGGATAATTGAGCGACGATGTTGAAGAGGTGGATCCGGGTCAATGGTAGGTGGTAGACCATCATCGGACGTAATGCGTAGAAGAGAATTTGGAAGGTGCAAAAAAAGGCCTTCCCCAGAACGGAGTCAAGGAAGAAGGCCTCTAGGGATGTAGGCAGGTCGGTGTCCAGGCCATCGACGCCTAGGGATTTGTGGTGAGTTAGATGATAGGGCTATCATCCTGTCAGCTTTGCAATCGAGCGGCCTGACATTAATTGAGTTACTTACTCTGAAAGCCGCACTATAAGGGACTCCGATGGGAAGGTTCGCAAAGACAGCAAACAATCTGTTTGCCAACGGGGCTTTGAAAGCCAGGTTATGAGAAATTTCATGGATGGCTAGGAAGAGGTTTTGATTTGCTGTTGCACCAATGACGTAGACTGCGAGGACATATTTCAGAGAAAGGACTGGGGTGTTACGCAAGTATACAGCACATGTGATTTGCAATGCGACGACGGCGAGCACGAAGTATTTAGTCAGAGGTTCTGGCCCGCAGAGCTTGATTACCTGTAAAATGAAGCATTAGCCGGGGTAGCAGCCAGGAACGCTCGAATTAAAATTGGTACTCCTGGATGTGCTTTAATGATTGCTTGTCGCCGTGTCCTATGTGGTTCCTCTGTATATGACCAAAAGAATCGGTCGCCATCATAGCTTGCTGCTGCTTGCTTGGGGAGGTCAAGCCGTGAGGAAGCCTGCACTGTGGTCGTCAATGTAGAAGGCATAATCTTAGGAAATATGGTTGACGCAGGTTCACTTGACTGTTAGCATGTCAATACTACCTTTCTTACTTCGTGAACATTGGTCTGGTCTAGCCTACCTTCGGTAAGGTAGGCTAAGGTAGTACAGGAAGATTTACAGACTAGTGCGTTTCGGCTTTCATGCAGAATACGGCTAAAGTAGATATGGTGATAATATGCTCACTTATCACGCCCATGTTCTATGATCAAGAGTCCTCGGTCAAAACGGGGATTCTCATTTTTAAGCTCGGGATCGACGACCGAGACTTATAATTTGGTATGGTCTAAACGGCAATAAGGACCTTGTGGACTCGCAATCTAAGGCCGGAAACTGGTCTGACTTCAATTTTTCATATATACACAATGAAGCACATACAATGGGTTGCCTCAATGTGCCTACTCTTCTATAGCCGAATGCCTTTGTGCCTCTTTGTTTCCGTATATGTGGAATTGGATCTGATTCGAAATTCGCAGTCAGTACTGCCTATTGGAGGGGGTTCATCGAGGCTGAAAGCTTGCTTCGAAAGTACAGACTCTCAAGACGCAGTATCTGGTCCGAAAGAGGAAACACGGACTCCGAATATACGTACGAAGATTATGACGTCCTCTGCAATCGTTCCTGAAATAGGTCAGGTTGTGTCCCTTTGTTTGATGAGTGCACTCTACTTGCCCAAAGATCCAATGAGCCAAGGCATGTTCGTAAGGAGATACTCCTTTTCAAGCGAATGGAAAAGTATCTAATACCATAAGCATGAACCCAAAGGATAGTGGCTTCATCAAACATACGCCGCCACCATAACTAAAGGATCTAAGTCAGCAATCTTCGTTGATGGCGCTTCTTGAACAATGTCATGAGCAATAGAGCATTCCATGTCATGTCATGCCCGACGATACACATAATGCGAGACGTAGTGTTGAGAGACGACTATGACTTACGATAGATTGCCCAACAGAGATAAGACAAAGAAAAGGATCGAGAGTCCTGCAATGGTTATTAGCCAAGATAAGACTCTTGAAAAACATGCGAAGGATATGGCCACCTTCGCAGGATTTTTCGCGAGAATTCTTTATGATTTGTGGAATTCTCGCACTGCGCAGGATTAGCATTGCGGATAGACATTTTGGATAAAATGTTAGTGCTTGTAAGGAACTTACCCGAGGTACAGTAGCTATCCATATCAGCAGAGAACATGTGTAGAAGCCACGGAGAATAAGGACAATCGTACCGCTGATAGGTAGCCTAAGATCTGTGCAGGCACGCTGTCATGGGTGGTATTCTCGGGATCCTCTATGGTAGGTTTCCAAAACCCAGCTGTGAAAGCAACATAAAAACCCACGGTGCCAAGAGCACACACCGCGAACACACTCAGAGAATTCTTCAGCCAAGAACGGGCATGACCAGCGTCTTCTGGAATGACTGAAAGCGCTGCTGCCTCATGTCGTTTTTGAGACACAGAGGAGCGACGCCTCGAGCCTGGTAGACCGATATCACTCGGTCTCCGGCTAAGCAACGGCTGGTCTGGTCTGTCTTCTATGTCTACTCGGGTGGATTGAACGCCTTTCTTGCGAGAGTTAACGTAATCGTAGTATAAAATTTGGATGATCAAGACTGCGTCAGCAATACAGAAATATAGAGCCAAAGCCTATCACACATGTCAGAGTCAGCGTTCTCCATTAGAATTCACGATGAATTAGAAGACAAATTTTGAAAGCGGTATCGAAGGGGAAATAAGATACCACTGCCGGAGCGTGTCTTGCGACTTAAGAAATCGTTGTCTTCGTTGAATGAAAATGAGACAGACAAAGTCATACGATTACAGTGGGCACTAGATGGGCTAGGGTTGCTCCGAGCAGATTTGCAAGATCACCGATGAACCTGAAATGATTTCGGAGTCAGCATATTGTAATGCAAATCGAGTCGTGGAACAGGTCGTAGGAGTGTTCTACTTCTGGGATAATTCTCGCAAAATTTGAATACAATACGAATCAGGAAGAGACTGCTTGGAAAAGATGACCAACCAAACAATTAAAAATGCCAGGGAAATGGCGTCTGCGGACTTGGACATGTAATTCTCAAGTAATTGTGGGACAAGTACAAAGAGCCAGCAGGCCAAGGATACCGATCCTGAGATCCCAGAAAGGATTTCATGGGTATCAAGCATTGTCCATAGAATACCCAGGCGTTGGCCTGATTACTACCTTCACGGCGCTTATGAAAAGGGAAAACTGGGTGGCAACCCTCCGGCAAAGCACGCGCACAGGGTTCTTGTTCAAGTATGTGTCGAGACAAGATGAGCAGCACAAAGAAATCAACAAATTAGAGATATCATGCAGGAGTATGCAGGTACCGCGAAAGAGAAAGTGTTCGAGCGCCTAGCGCCCACCTAGCGCCGCAGGGCTTAGTAAGTTTGTTCAATTCTATTCTTGTATTGCCTCAATCCTTTTTAACATCGGATGCTTTCTCACCGACGAGTCTTGTCTAAACTGTCTGTCATTATTGCTTCATGATTCAACACGTGCACTGTGTCTCTAGAATCAAGCACGTATTTCGCTCGTGCACCTTTTTCACTTTGAGTATTTCAATATGTTTTATCTAAGTGTATTCGCCCTCTTCATTCTCTCTGTCAGCCTTTCTTTGGCATCAGATATCGAGAACCCTCTCCAGTATCGCCAGGATAATAATACGACGACAACAACGTTCTCTCCGGTGGCCTCTCCCAGCTCCTCATCCAGCTCTTCGTCTATATCAGTTCCTCAATCTGTGGGTCCCCAGACCACCGACTCGACAACGAGCACGTCCTCTGACGCTGCAACTACCACCTCGCTCCAAGGTGCGGCTAAGACAAATCCAACAACCTCAACTACTCAAACACAATCGAGGCTTTCGACAGAATTGACGTCCTTTACATCCAAAGATGGGTCTTCCTACACCACGTCCTCGAGCACAACTCCAACTGGCAGCGTGACACGCAAGATTGTGATTACAATTATCTCAACAAGCGGAAGCGTGACTTTAAGCATTACTTCTACATCTAATCAAGTAATAGCTGCGGCTTTGGCCTCAACCACATCCTCAGGAGCTCCTGGAATTGCCCAAAGCAACAGTGGATCGGGCAGCTCGGGCCTATCGTCGAGGAGTAAATCTGTGGTTGGCGGTGTTGTTGGCGGTATCGGAGGCGCAATCTTGCTGGGAGGCCTGGCGATCGTTGTTTGGCGCGTTTGGGGCAGAAATCGACGGTCACACGGTGCTGATAACGATCTGATGGACCCACAGGCAGGGCAGGAGAAGAACAGCAGTGTCAGAGGTCACAGTCCCTTCGTAAGTCACGCTTGCAGCATAATTCACGTGGAGATGTCTGACCAATGGCTACAGCGATCTACTCTGGATCAATACCACAACCCCGGGCCAGTCAATACAGCTTCCAACTTTTAGTGATCGAGAGTCAACCGATGTTATGAAGTCAGCATTTTAGCCATCAATGATCAGCGGCATTGTTGGGAGTCTGTAGCATATATTGGCATCGGAAATCATTAACGAATTCCCTTTGTCGATATCATCAGCTACATTTATTAATTCCAGTCAAAATATCGGACCATACTTATTGCCTAAATGGCTAATTGGGACCCTTTTCCTGAGATCATTCGCTTTGCTCGAGTAATACCGTAGATGACGGCATTTACCTAGGTACTCTTGGGTCAGAACACGCTAGCACACGCGTGGAACCCTTACGCGGTTTACTCTACTAGTACTACACGCAGTCTTCCTTCCCCAACTTCCTCTGACACTTAGAGCAAAACCTTGAGATAGCCCAAAATGTTTCAAATCTGTCCGCCATCCTACAATCCGGAGTTCTTAATCCGAAAACCATCTCCTTTGGCGCCACTTAATCCTAATGCTTGCCCGCGCTTTTACCATCAGATGACGTCCGCAGGTGGGACAAGCAGTGACACGTCGAAGTACTCATACAAACGCGCTGCACAATATCCTCTACTGCAACGCAAACCTACCGAAGAACAAGATCGGAGGCGACAGGTCTTCTTGAAGAAAGTCCGTCAGGTCAGCGATGACAAGAAGTGGGGTTTCCGCAGCGAACAGGTGCGCGATCGTTGTGCTTGAGACATCTCCATGACGCATTTAGGCTGATACTGTAACAGATCTTGAGAAAGGACTTCCTTTCGAAGCAGCGAGAGTGGGAACTCAACCAAGAACGCTCGGCACCAGAGACCCCTCAAGCTCTCGACGACGACGAGCGGGAAGCGGAGTCCGATTTCACGGAGGGTAAAAGTGCTTACTGCGTTCATATGTATTTCAGCTAACACTCTGCCGCGCAGAAGTGAAGATGGTTGATCGAATTGTTTCACAGGAGAATCAAGCGTTCGAGGCGCTTATATTATCAATTCAAGACATCGCAGATCAGGAAGACCACCATCAACAGAAGACAATGTCCGATTACGGCAGTGACGAGGAAGAATACGATCAGTTATTCAAAGAGGTCATGTCGAGACAGGGATCGGCGGAGAGGAGCACTGACACAGTTGGAGTTGGCGTCCCAGAACAGCACCAGGAGATGGACATTTCTTTGGGGTAAGAGCAACCGAAGTCGTGTAATACGGCTTGACAAATATCTCAAAATTGCCCTCGGTGCAGGAGTTATGCTCAAGGCTGGGCCCAATTGTGGGCCAGGATGCCTGGCTAATTACATTTCCTGTGCCCCAGGGACCACAACTAATAGGTCATTGCTGAGCACACCCGGAGTCTATGTCACCTAAAGCATCTTGTGCAGCATTCATGTCGCCCACGAGATCAGCTGGGGGACTTCCAGCCGCTTGCATCTAATTCAGCTCGATTAGCTCCAGTCACATTGATGTAATGGGATAGGGCCTGTACCTGTTGCATTCGTTCCACAATGAATTCTCTATCCGCCTTATGGGAGTCAGAGTAACTTGTCTGTTCAAATCTCTCCACAATTTCTCCTACAAGTCTTTGCTGCACGTCATATCTTCGCAAATCGTCTGCACTTGTGCTGCTCCTATTGTCGGACATCCAGCGTGGGAATTTATTGTGTAACTCTTTCATCGGCTCGTACAGTATTTCCTTGTTTGTCAACTGCTCCATCATACCAACAAGCATTTTGTTGAACCCTTCGTCATCTCCTACACCTTCTAGGCCGCCGTCTTGCATCTCCTTCAGCATTCGTGAGAGCATGTCATCGGAGTCCTCGGTCTTTGCAGCAGCTGTGGCTTGGTCTCCTGAAGCTTGCATTCGCTCCATGGTCTTTCGAATAGTCTCCTGGAAAGGTTCCTCTGTATTCGATAACGACACTTTCCCATTGATTTCGTCCTTTGATTCCGAAGGCGTGCCAGGATCTGCTGCAACACCCAATTCCCGCATCATGGCTTCAATCTCTGTCTTCATTTCCGGTGACTCATCTACATTGCCCATGAGCGCAGCCATTTGGTCTCGCAGTTGCTTGCTGAACTCATCCGCAGCTGCATCCGACTTATCTGACTCTTGAAGAGCTGGCACCGGCGCAGGCTCAAGTTTTCGTGAGACATCTTGGGGTTTACTGACGCTGGTATTTGAAAATTCATCGAGCATGTCTAGTACATTAATTAATGAACGCCGGAATTACTGGGAAGAGCTCAAATCATGCCATCTAGATCGTCCAAATCATCCTCTTCTGGATCAGGCACATCATCATGTATTAAGGGTGCTTTGCCAGAAGTATCAGTAGCCTGCTTTGCGCTCATCTGGCGCTCCTCCTCTTGCATTGTAAACCCACCCCTTTCAACTCCTTGAGGTTTGGTAGTCCCGAAACATGTGTTGTGAATAAGTATCGTAGGAAAAGCGTGATTAAATGCATGTGAGTGAAGCGTGTCTCGGACTTGAGGCAGGCATTTTCACAGCACTTGCAGTCAGTGGGCCGTTGATCGACAGGCACTGCGGGGACGCCCAAAACCTGCCGACTGTTCTTCTTCCTACTCAAATTGCGCCTTACCTTTCGACTTCACACAGACACCCTGGGCAAGTCCTCTTGCGCCTACGGGTATCACTTTGTCTGATTTTTTCATTCTCACTCCACTCAGCTCTTCACAGACTCCCAATTCAACTAACACATCATCCACATCTCATACCTTACTACCGAGCACATGACCATCGACCTCCTAGCTCTTCGACGATCTTTGAACTACCCACATCGGCGAACACAATTACAGGTACAAAAATGTCCTTGTGTCAGAATCGCCTTCAGGAGGAGAGGCAAGCCTGGCGCATCCACATGACAGCTCAGACATAGGGTTAACGAGAAGCAGAAAGCAATGGCGTCGTGATCACCCATTCGGATTTTTCGCAAAGCCTGTTCGAACTACTCAAGGAGTTCTGGACTTGAAGAAGTGGGAATGCGGAGTGCCCGGCAAAGACAAGACGCTCTGGGAAGGTGGCCTTTTCAAACTAGATGTGCTTTTCCCGGATGGTGAGTTAGGGCGTGATTTGTCCCACGCATATGGCGCTGACCTAGTTTCTAGAGTATCCTACAAAGCCTCCAAAGTGTACGAATTCAGAACTGAGCCCTGGGGCAAAGCGAACTGACAAGGGTGCAGGCAAATTCGTTCCCCCGCTTTTCCACCCCAACGTCTATCCCTCTGGTACTGTTTGCCTGTCAATTTTGAACGAAGAAGAGGGGTGGAAGCCAGCCATCACCATCAAACAGATCCTCCTCGGCATCCAAGATCTGCTCAACGACCCAAACCCCGACTCGCCGGCGCAAGCCGATGCCTACAACTTGTTCAAGAGAGATCGCCAGGCTTACGAGAAGAAGGTCAAAGCCATTGTGAAAGATAATCCAGCACCATGAGAGGGCACTTGCGGCCTCATGGCAAACACAACGGGATGATTAGAGGGCGATATCTGGATTACTTTGGCGCAGGGAGGAGATGACTGCATCAAAGGCGCATAATACATGCCTATGGCATGCAAAGGCGAGCTTTTGGCGCCATTACTCTATTATCTAGAGCCGTGCTGAGAGCGGGTCTTTTCCTGCAAGCATGCAAACCTGTGTATCTGAAAGGGGTTCTTAAGGACCCATCAATTCGATGGCATTTATTTCGACCCAAACGATCTTCTCATGTTGCTGGTGCTCCAGCCGAGCCAGCGTCATTTGAGGTATCTAAGGTTTAGATGCTTTCTTATCGGCCTTATCTCCGCTAGTGAGATTATGCATGCAAAGTAATGTAATTTGATTTTGAAGCGCACGCAATTTCTTCGGGAAATCGCAACAATTCATCCTTATTGTTCTTTTTCGTGAGCTCCTCACCTTCTCTCGACACTTTCACTTTACTCGTCATTTCTTGAAGCTCTTGAAGCTCTTGAAGAAGATGTGTGGGATTTTTGCCTGTCACTGGTAAGTGTTGTAACCCCAATCGGCACGTGCCTGCTTGCAATTCCTAGATTCGCTTCGTGGGCTTGCTGACTTTGTGGGCTTGTAAGCCATCCTGATGTGCAAAAGTTCAAGCCCACCGCTCTGCGGATGGCCAAAGCGTAAGAAATTGAAATTCCAATATCTGGAGGAAATTCTAACCAGATCCACAACAGCGCTCGCCATCGTGGTCCCGATTGGAGTCAGCAAGTCGAATAGACTCACAAAAGACGAAAGGGCTGATTGTGGTTAGGTGGTAACTTCATTGCCAATAACACAAGTCAGACGCCCGTAACTGGCTATTCAATGCGACGAAGCTAAATTGTGGTAGTCTTGGCCCACGAAAGACTGAGTATTGTTGGCGTTGGTGAGAAGAATTGCCAATGAAGTCTTTTACCGTTCCTGCTAAGCGTACGCAGATACTGGAGCCCAGCCTCTAGTCAGTGATGACGGCTCATTATCTCTGGCTGTCAATGGTGAGATCTACAACCATAGGGTCTTGCGCAAGCAGCTGAAGCGCCCCTACAACTTTAAGACCCACTCGGACTGCGAAGTCATCATACCGTTGGTATGAACTGGACATCACTGGCTCCGAGAAATTTCTGACCGTCTATAGTATATGGAACATGGACTTGATGCGCCAAAGTACCTAGATGGCATGTTCTCCTGGGTTCTTTATGACAAGGAAGGAGATCGCACAGTGGCCGCAAGAGATCCCATAGGAATTACCAGCTTTTACCAGGGATGGTCAAGCAAAACTCCTGGCGCAGTTTATTTTGCATCAGAGCTGAAGTGCTTGCATCCGGTCTGCGACAAGATCAAATCGTTTCCCCCAGGCCATATATACGATTCCAAGACCGATACCATGACTCGATATTTCCAACCTCGTTGGTGGGACCCGCTGAACGTACCTTCAACTCCGATAGATTACAAGTTGATACGCACTTCTCTAGAAAAATCTGTTCGCAAACGGCTGATGGCTGAAGTACCATACGGTGTGTTGCTCTCCGGTGGGTTGGACTCAAGCCTAGTAGCGTCGATAGCCCAAAGAGAGACGCTCAGACTCCGGTCAGCATCAGTGGGGAAATTGAATGGATACAGCGACCACGAGCAGCAACCTAGTGAAGAGCTTGTAGGAATTGACGATGACGATGAATTATCGACCGTGACGTGGCTTCCTCAGCTTCATTCCTTTTCGATTGGGCTGCCTAATTCGCCTGATACTAAAGCTGCTTTGGAGGTCGCAAAATTCCTCGGAACCAAGCATCATAGTTTCAACTTCACCATTGAGGATGGCTTAGATGCAATCTCAGACGTCATCTTCCATCTTGAGACCTACGACGTTACTACCGTTAGAGCCTCGACTCCAATGTTCCTTCTCAGCCGTAAGATCAAAGCCATGGGAGTAAAAATGGTGCTGAGTGGGGAAGGTAGTGATGAGATTTTTGGGGGCTATCTCTACTTTCATGCAGCTCCAGACAAAGAATCCTTCCATGCAGAGACCGTTCGCCGCATTAAGAATCTCCATCTTTCTGATTGCTTGCGAGCGAACAAGTCGACGGCAGCTTGGGGAGTTGAAGCCCGCGTGCCATTCCTCGACAAGGAGGTTAGTCTTGCACTCACAGCTAAAAAAAAAGCGTCCTAACTAATTTAGTTTGTGGAAAATGCAATGGACATTGATCCAGCAGAGAAATTGATTACGAAGGATCGGATAGAAAAATATATCCTACGTAAGGCCTTTGATACAACCGACGAGCCGCATACAAAGCCATATCTTCCGGGCAACATCCTATGGCGCCAAAAGGAGCAATTCAGCGATGGTGTAGGTTATGGGTGGATAGATGCCCTGAAAGACAACGCCGAGATCCACGTGACGGACGAGCAGATGAAGCAGCCCAAAGCCGAATGGGGAGATGATGTCCCAGATAGCAAGGAAGCGTACTGGTATCGTCTCATGTTTGATGAGCTCTTTCCGCCTCAGTGTGCATCAACGGTCATGCGTTGGACACCTACGTGGTCGAAGCAGACAGATCCAAGCGGACGGTGAGATGTCTCTTGACCTAAAAAGAACTTATTTCTGACTTTGACAGGGCGATCGCCACGCACCTTGCCAAGTACGAAGGACAGAAATAGAGCGTCTGTCATTTTCTCTTTGCGCTATTCCCTCGATGCCTAGAGCATATGAGGGTTTTTGCCTTGCTATGCGGATTAAGCAATAGACTCTAGACCTGAATAGACCGATGTTTAATAGATTCCCGCGAAGCGAGCATTCTAGGAGGAAAAGCGTCCAGCATACAAAAATCGGTCGATACAGTACTTATCCATGAGTCTCATGCTTGTCGCACGTCTGGTAAGATGATATCAGTGAAGCGTACCAAGTCGAATCGAAGTCAGAGTTAAACACGAGATCATTAGACCACGAAAGAGCATTCCATATAGGGATTCGTAGAGATGAGAATTGAGAGTATGATAGCTCGACGGCCAAGCAGGTGCAATGAAGCTGAAGCGTGGTTGGACAGACGCTAATAAGCAAAGCAACCCTAACCGCTCCCGCTCAGGCTACTTCACTCCTTAGCTCGCGCTCACTTATTTTCATCCAACGTGCCTCCCTGCTGCATCACCAATCGTCAAACCTTCAAGGGCATTGAGTGCTATATTTTCCAAGTCCTTATCATCCGTCAGAATGTCTGTTCCTCCAGCCTTCTCCGACATTTCCAAGACCTCAAATGATGCGAGTAACCCTTGCGGTTTACATAGAATGAATAGCTGATGCATCTACAGCTCGTGAACAAGGACTTCTACCACATTGCAGCTGGTAATTGCAGCCTCTCAAATGTTCCGATGGGACATGTGAAGCTTATGATGTTTTCAAGCCAAAATCGATGTTAAGTCCAAAGCTCCCAATGGAGTGAGCTTCAACGTCAAGGGCACATCTACTCACGAGGGTCCTACAAGTGCTTCCGTGAGCCTCCAGCTTCGACTACAATGAAAACCGGATTCTGAAGCGCCAATGATACTGACTTGCTGGCTACGTTAGGTTGAAGCCAAATACGCGGATCCGCCTACGGGTATGATTTTCAGTTTGCTTCGCTTTACCACCACAGCCCATTTCCATACTCCTTCTAGTCTCAACCACACTATCGTCCTTTGCCCCGGGAATGCAGCGTTGCTGATTCTTTATCAACGTCCAGGCTTGTCTCTTACTCAAACATGGACAACCGCAAACGTTCTTAGTACAAAGCTGGAGCTTGACAACAACTTCGCCAAAGGGCTGAAGGCCGAAGCTCTCACAGACTTTGTTCCAAGCTCACAAAAATTTGGCGCAAAGCTCAACCTCTACTTTAAACAACCCAACTTCAATGCCCGCGCCTTCTTCGACGTCCTCAAGGGTCCTGTTGCAAACGTGGACGCTGTCTTGGGGCGTGACGGTTTCTTGGTTGGTGGGGAGGCAGGCTATGATGTTCAGAAAGCTGCGATCACCAAGTATTCATTGGCCGTTGGCTACACAGCGGCAGAGTACAGCGCCGCTATCACTGCGACGAGTAGCTTGAGTGTCTTCGCGGCCTCGTACTATCACAAGGTCAATTCGCAAGCCGAGGCAGGCGCCAAAGCAACATGGGACTCGAAAGGCAGCAACAACGTTGGCATGGAAGTGGCAGGCAAATACCGTCTCGACCCTACGTCCTTTGCCAAGGTATGAGCCAATCAAACCACTTTTACTTTGACACGACTAAGCTTAGCTCGCAAACTAGGCCAAGATCAATGATCGAGGCATTGCCGCTTTCGCGTACAATGTCAAACTCCGACCTGGTGTCACTGTGGGCCTCGGGTTGTCTCTCGATACTCAAAACTTAAACGAAGCTGCGCACAAGGTAACGCTTCCAGATCGTCGACCGAAGCGCAACATCAATTGACAAGCAACAGGTCGGCACGAGTTTCGAGTTCGAGGGTTAAGGTGAGAATGTTTGACCAGGGTTAAAACTAGTGCTTTTTCGATTCTCACGTGACTGTAATTAGACAACTGCTCCTCTATGTAGCGACTTCAAATCAGTGCACACTGTCAATACATCAGCTCAGGCGACATCATTTGTTTCATGATAGCGGTAGAAGCGGCATGACAAAAGCAACTCTTGACCTTCAAAGGAAATTCACGAACACGAGGGATGGGGTATACCGTATGAGTTGTAATGCAGGGAGAAATTAGATATTGAGGGGGCATCATTTTTCAACGCTCGTCCTTTTTGCGCCGTCTCTGCTTCTGTCAAATAGTACAGGTATTGAAAAGGCAAACGTGACCACTGCTGTGATCAACAGAAATTGAAACAGGACACTGCCTCCTTCCGCAAATCCTACGCTTTCCTCCTCCAGACGCTTACGCCGTCGTTGATCCTGCTGTTCCTGAGTATGATGATGTCCTTCCCGGTTGAAATGAGGAACGTCATTGAAACCGGCCTGTCCTCGACCCGGTCCAAATCCCCCGCCAATGGGATCACCGGTACCAGCAGATCCTGAGCCCTCGGCCTGCGCATGCCTCTTACTACCCTGTGCCCCCCATCCTCCACTCCGATAGAAGCTTGGTGGTGGTCCCTTGAACTGAGTCCGTCTTCGACTTAGTCCGCTTCCGGGTCTGGATCCAAAAGGAGTCGAAGAACTCGAATGAGAGCCCCGGTGTGCGTGGGACCGAGATGACTCCTGAGCATCTTGTATATCTCGATCGTAGCGCTCTCGCTTCTGCGGGCTACCAAGGACAGCGTAAGCCTCTGATATTTTGACGAATCGCTCCGAGGCTTGTGGGTCGTTGGCATTATGATCTGGATGGTGGGTCTTGGACAGAGAGTAGAACTGCCTGCGCTGTGTGAGCGCCCGATAAACAGCCACATACTTCATTGCATACGTTTTGACATCTCCCGCAGAGGCACTTGGATCAATGCCCAATGTCTTGTAGTAGCTTGCTGATTCGCTTCTCCATGCTGACGTTGTGTGGAACAGCGCAGTGCGAGGCAAGGCTAATCGAGGGAGCAGAAAAGCTGTGGGGAGGAGAGACCGACTTAGTGGCATGCCTCATGCTGAGAGGCGTACTGTTCTGACTGAATTGCTCAATGTGTCGCCCATGATGCCAATGAGTCGTTCCATTGTTGTGAAATAACCTCGATCGATGACATAATATGCTGGAAGAAGCGCGATCAAGCGCCACCAGTGCTCAGCCGCCCCCACATTCAAAGCTCTTTCCGAATCAGAGATATGACGACGACGACGCCTTATCGCGCCTAATACTACTCAAGATGGCCGCACAAATAGCAGATGGGATCCATAATATCAACCGTGAAAGCACATGCGTATCAAAAACTTGTTGGCGCTTTAGCTCATATATATCTAGTAAACCAATCTGAAACAAAAGACAGTATTTCGAACGGTCACATCAGTCCGGCCTCTGCAAAAGCTGAGAATGACGACTCGGACGAAGACAGAGATGAGGATGGTAGGAACGTCGAGGCAGGAGCTCTCGGAGGTAAACTTACTCCAGGATTCTGTTGAGACAAGTGGCTAAGAGGGCGCAGCTGCAAAGAAGAAGAAAAAGAGGAAGCCTAAGAAGAAAAAGGGAGCGGCCAGTGGTAGCAAAACGCAGACTATGCCTCCAAGAGTCCCTGTCGGGAATTTGTTTCCAAACGGCCAGTATCCCAAAGGAGAAATTGCCGAATATCGAAATGAAAACAGCTATCGGACAACCAACGAAGAGAAAAGACATCTGGACCAAATGAATAATGACTTTCTGAACGAATACCGGCAAGGAGCGGAGGTTCATCGACAAGTCCGACAATGGGCACAAAAGAATATCAAGCCTGGCCAGAGCCTGACCGAAATTGCTGAAGGAATTGAGGATAGTGTCCGAGCATTGACTGGACATCAGGGCTTGGAAGAAGGGGACAATATTAAGGGTGGAATGGGTTTCCCCACTGGCCTGAGCATCAACCATTGTGCAGCCCACTACACTCCAAACGCGGGCAATAAGACCATTCTACAACAAGACGACGTGATGAAAGTAGATTTCGGAGCCCACATTAACGGCAGGATTGTGGACAGTGCATTTACCATGACGTTCAACCCGGTCTACGACAACCTGCTGGCGGCTGTCAAAGATGCCACAAACACAGGCATCAGAGTGAGTTAATTAATCAGGCGTCAATCGAAAGGACTGGCGTTGACTTTTTCAAGGAAGCGGGTATTGATGTTCGCGTTGGCGATATCGGCGCCGCGATCCAAGAGGCGATGGAGAGTTACGAGGTTGAAATCAAGGGTCAGTCGTTACCGGTCAAGAGTATCCGAAATCTTAACGGTCACGACATCGTTCAGTACAGCATTCATGGGGGCAAAAGCGTACCGATTGTGAAAAGCAACGATCAGACGAAGATGGAAGAAGGCGAGATCTTTGCTGTTGAGACTTTTGGAAGCACGGGGAAGGGCTATGTACGAGACGATGTAAGGTGCTCATCCGAAGCCATTGCCTCAAGACTCACTTGACGCAGATGGAAACGTCGCATTACGCCAAAAGAGCCGACGCGCCAAACGTTGCTCTTCGAGTCTCGTCCGCTCGGAGTCTGCTAAATACAATAACGAAGAACTTTGGGACACTGCCCTTCTGCCGGAGGTATCTTGATCGCCTTGGCCATGACAAGTATTTGCTCGGAGTAATTGTCCTGATGGTCCCGCTAAGCGGCTGAAGAATGCTAATTTATGTCAGTTGAACAATCTCGTATCGAGCGGTATTGTGGAAGCATATCCACCTCTATGCGATATCAAAGGGTCATATACCGCTCAGTTCGAACATGTGAGCCGCTTCAATGGGGTTTGCTGTTTGGAATGGTTCCTAACTTGTTTCAGACCATACTAATGCGACCTACAGTCAAGGAGGTCATAAGTCGAGGAGATGATTACTAGTCAACTGATCGGTTGATACTCCTCTAATGACTGCATTGAACAGTTGTATGCGAACTTGACAAACTATTTGTTTGATGCGAGGCAAAATTAGAGTAGATACCCACAGGATACCATTCTCCGAACAGATGAGCTTTACAGAAAGTGTCAAGGTCGAAGTTTTTAAAGACGACAGGAATTTGTAGACATGATAGGACAGGAAGGCTGCCAGGAAAGGTGCACTCATCGGTGAAAGACCAAGAAAATTAATCGACCATGTTTGTATCGTCAACATGCAAGGGTTAATAATCCACGCAATTTTTTTCTGGCAGCGCTCGTATGGATCGTGCACTCACTTCCATCTTGATTACGAGAAATCCTGATCACATGATCATTGACTACGCTACCTATGCATCATTGGATCATGGCTCGGCAAGGACATGATCCCCCGAAAAAGAAAGCCCGAAAGGAGAACGTGGCTCAGTCGAACAGGCCAAACCCCATATCCTCGTCCGATTCCTCCTTCTCCTCTTCTTTCTCTGCCTTCTTCTCTTCCTCTGCAGGCGCATCCGGTGCAGCTCCTCCACCGCTTGCAGCACCAGCAGGCGCGGCGGCAGCTCCTCCCCCGGATCCAACGTTCAGCAGCATATCTTTGACGTTCTTTCCCTCGAGTGCCTGTACCACGTGTCAGTCCTTATCTTCACTGCATGATATGCCCAACGTCCGAATGGAGTATGTGCACCTTTGCAAAGAGGGTGGTCCATATCGGTTCGACATCCTCGACACTGGCGGCTTTGATAAGAGTATAGAGTTTGTCGGCCTTAAGTTGAGTCAGCGTCTTCCAACACCGCAACAGCTGTCGGCCCCTACAGTAATGTCAAGGTCGTCATCGGCGAGAATGAGAGCGGCATATGAGGCTGCAAGCTCCGAGTGAGACATTGCGAGATGTGTATTCGTGGATGGATGTGGGCGATTGATTTTCGAGGTATGTAGTAAAAGAGTTAGCCAGTCACCTAATAGATTTCAGTGTGAGTCGTCTTCGCTTACGTATCGGTGTTATCTTAGCGCCTTGGCGCTCTGCTGTTGGCCCTAAGTATGAGGGGCTCCTCCCACTACGCTTGGGTCACTTTTACTTCCTTGAATGTGTTGCGAATATCTGAAATGTACCTCATCCTCCTCAGTTCTGACGTACTCCATTTTCAATCACGTCTTGCAGCAGCAACGCTCCATGACGAATAGACTTACTCCAACATGACAGACTCCCCCGCAGTTCACGCTCCTCTCGACCCGAAAGAACAACCCATACTTGATCGTGTGCTCCACCTTCGAGATGAGCTATCGTTGCTGAAGCAAGACAAGTCGACGTACATCAAGTCTTACGATGTCATTTCTCTCTACGACCAAGTGATTGAGCAGGTCCATGCGCTCAATACTGTACGTGAGGAGCACGGCAAGCCTCTGGAACAAAACAGAGGTCTGTTCTTACTCTTGGTAGACGCCGTCTAGCAACTCGGAATGCCGGGCTCACAATTTGTACGAACAGTCGACAACGTATTAGAGGATTGCTTTCAATTAATATCTCTCTTTTTTTTGACCGTAGGACGCAACAATGAGGCTCCGGCCGTGTAAGCTTGCCCACATCCGATTCGAATTATCGAAAACTGACCCCTACCACCAATCCCAGATACTCCATGACATCGACCATTAGGGTTTGCCTTCACGGGACAGAACCTCCTGTTCTTGCGCTTACTTCAAATAGCGTCTTCTGGATCATCTCAAAGAAGCTGCATTCTTTTCTGCTAAGGATCTCGACTCTGCCAGTCATACTTTAAACAAAATGCAAGATACTTTGCAGCGAGGCAAAGAAACTTATTCGCCGCACCTTCTGACTTTGCTTGACAACCGTCTCAACACCTGTCGAAACATCCTGGCTGATTTGCAAGCTTCCTTGGCTGATCTGTCGCCTGCACTCACACCTGTTCACGAAAGATTGGTCTCTATTTTACGCTCGATCTCCGCGGCCAACACTCGCCAAAAGGTTTGGTTCTTCCCCCTAGATATTTATTGATTGGAACTAGTTGACCGTCAGTTTAGTTCCCAGCAGCAGAAGTTGAGGGTTTCCGAGAACAACTGAAAGAGATTCGAGGTACTATGGTCGATGGCAAGTTCCTCGCCGAAGATAGTACTGCGCCAGCCGGCCAGGCTATCGTAGTCGAGCTTCTGGATCGTTGCTTTCTTTGGTCAGGCATCGTGCTCACCAGGTACGCGCGTCTCCTGAGCAACCGAACGAAACATCCAGATCTAACTTCCACGTCAGGAAGGGCAAAATAGATGAGCGATTCAAAATGACATATGACAAATTATACGATATCCGCAACCAGCTTGAAAGACTGTCTCTGACACAAGCCTGGTCTTTACGAGAGACTGACCTCTATAACTACCAGCGTCAATTAGACAGGGTCGACGAATCTCGGATCAATGGGAATTTCGAAGACTTGACTGGGTACAAAGCTGACCTCCATGCACAAAGGGTACGATTGAGCTTTCTATAACCCGAACACCTTTAGTTCTAACACCTACAGACGCTGCTCTATCTTCTTCGTCGTAGTTATGCGTACATCTACAGTCTCATAATTTCCTCGGAACCAGTCTCCGAGGCGCTTCTGCCTGTTTTCAATCAATTGCAGACACTTCGTCGATGCTTGGTGGAGGTCAAGCGATCTGGTGGCGTTTCTTCGGCAAGGGAGCTTTATCCATACAGCATGAAGGTATGGTTAACTCTGAATCTACAAGTTGGAAACCTTGAAATTGATTTTGCAGCTAATTCACGTAGTTGAATTCGATCGACAATATGCGCGTTGATGGCAAATTCTTAGTGGGTTCAGACATACCCGAAGGGCAAGGCAGTGTGAATGCATTGCTTGCTGAATGTTTCGACATAGCATATGAATTAAGAGTCCAGGCTGAAGAAAATGACTCGGAGTGATAGCAGAGGAAATCGCAAGCGTGAATTGTAGGGCAACTGTTTTGCTCTTCAGCGCGGCGCTTATGTGAACCACGGAATAGTGCTTGAAGACAGGGTTTAGGGACATTCGAGGTAATGCAGTACGCATTCTCTGCTCGGCTCGAGATGGAGCGGTTGTATCTAATTGCCACAGCCTGCTTCCTGCTATTGCTCCTCGGCTCCATAAGCAGTTCACCCCGTTGTCAGTGCCCAACTTATCTTCGGACAGTCCCCCTCCGACAGTCCCCCGTCCATACTAATACAGCCTCCCGCGCACGATCTACACATTAAGCTTTTGACCTCAAGCTATCTAGTTAAGATAAAAAGCTATATTAATTATATACATGTTAGCAGCAACATCTACGGGGGCCCTATAAAGGCTCTACGGGGCCCCTTCGAGGGCTCTATGAGTAGATATTTAGATTTAAATAGGGGTGTCTAGCTGTTAAGCGTAGATATTCTCGAGATTAATTTTTTTTAACTAAGTTACTAATAATAGTATTTATACTTTCTTTTAGATTAATTATAATTTAAAGTATATATTTATAATTATCTCGAAGCGATATTAATTATAATTAAGAATAATTTATTTAATTTATTAAAAATCGAGAGATTAAAAATACTTAGATTCTCTATTATAAAATTAAAATTTAATATTTTAGAGAATTATTTAAATAAAAGTTATATCGAAAATAGATCTCGAAATTAAATATTTTTAAATAAAATATTCTATTTTAAATATAATAATTCTATTTTAATATTAATATTTCGAGTAGAATAGCTCTATTTTAATAAGAATATTATAAATAAGATATTTTAAGATAAAGTTCTAGAAGTAGATATCTAAAAAAGAAATTATTATTCTTAATATACTACTTAGCCCTATAGCTAGCGAGCCTTAGCGGAGATATTCTCTATTATATTATATCTTCTTTCTATATATATAGTTCGATAGTCTTATTATTCTATTCTATCTTACTTATATAATATATCTCTATGCTAGTTCTAACATTATAATAAAACTCCTTTATACACCCCCCGACGAAGAGAACTAACGGGTATTTTTTACTTTCTGCTCGAAGTAAGCGACCGAGCCTAATAAAGAAAACGCTAGATATTTCTACTATACAGAAGCCCTATCACTCACAAATCACCTATATCATTTAAAAGAAAATATATCGAACGACCTACATTATTAACGGTAGCCTAATTCATCAAAAAACGAGTTCCCTACATCGAATACAAGAAATTCTTCTCCGCTTCGTATTACAAATATTGAAATTACTATAACTTACTTAAATCTTAATTAACCCTCTAAGCGGACTAATATTATTCGATAGAGTTATATTTAAAGTATTTAAAATCTATACGGCGATCTGATTCGTTAAGAAACAAGTATGTCAGACCCTCGTAAAGAGATAATACTATCGAGGAAGCCCAGTCAAAATCGCCATTTTCACGCCTATCTTCTCCACTCCCTTCTTATCTATATTCAACACATTATGAATTCTTTAAATCTATCTATATTAACACTAAGATATCGCTCTTTACATCGTCGTTATAAGAACGCTTTCTTTTTCTCTAGATTAAGATCTTCTATATATAGTAACTAGCCTTATTCTATATACTATCTCATATACGAAAATCTATATATAAGATATTCGCCTTCAAATTCGCTACGACTTCGTATATTACGTGTATAGCGATCTCTATCTACTAAGAATCTTTATTAGTAATATTATAGAATATCGAGTTAGTTAAAGAAGAATTAGACTTAAGACCTCGAGATATAAGATTAAATTTCGCCTAATATTCTAGCCTCTTCTTCTTCGCAGAAGATATTAGAATAATAAAAAGAGATATAGGCCTAAAACTCGGCTAATATCTCTATCTTCTCACTCTTATCCCCATCTTTATTAATATTACGAGATTTCGAAGTACTAAGAGTATATTAACATCGATATCGACTAATCTTGCTATAGTAGATAGTTAGATAGCTACTTAGTTTAAGACTATTAAA